TGGTGGGTATGCAAGTGAAGAGAGAGACTACATCAAAGGACACCATGGTTTCATCTGGATCCAGGGGAAGTTTCTGGACCTTGTCGGTGAAGTCGGTGGAGTTCTTGATGTGGTGTGGGGTGTTCCCCACGAGAGGAGCAAGGATGGTAGCAAGAAGTCCAGACAATTTTCTTTCCAAGCTCCTCAGACTGCGATGACCTGGATGACTGCGAACTTTCACAGACAAGACTAACTGTTGTTTTTTACTTTCACTGATGACAGCAGAGTTTATGATTCACGTGTTGGATAATCAGTGACTTTGTGTTACACGTTACTTACATGCAAATTTGATCTAAATCCCAACAACAGAGAGCTGCTGCTCTGATTTAACTGTTATGCTCTAATTTTTCCAGACTCACGCGCTTGAACTCAAACGCATCAAAATTAAATTACAAGGAAACTGGTCTAAAGTCAAATTCAATGTGCAGGGACTTCAGGCAAAAGAAAGTATGGAAAAGATACATTATGTGCAAAGCTATGAGTTATTACATGTAATTGTATTTAATTATAATATGAGCAAAGAGAGCCTGCCCACATTAAGGGTCTATACCCAGATTCATGGCATGTAGCTAGAGTTGCACCAGCGTGTTAGTCTGCTTCAGTGCAGCTTACAAACAGGCTGTCTTTGTCCCAGTATTTTGAATTTTGTGTTGCTCTTGTAGTTTATTTTGTTTTCAGGTTGAAGTCCTGTATTTGTTAGTACTTCTTTGTGTCTCTGAGTTTTAATTATTTATATTTCCAGTCCTTGGATCTTTCTTGCATTGTTCCCTTTTTGTGTCCAGTATGTTCCCAGTCTCATGTCAGTCCCTTGTCAGTGTCCCCGTGTTTGATATGAGTCATGTCTCCGTATCTGTCTGGTCTCTCTGCGTTTCCTCTCCATGGCTGGTCTTGTATTCTCTGTCTTGTCAAGTTAATACATTTGCAGTCCAGTCCCTCTGTTTTCTCCCTACATGTTCCTGCATGCATCTCTCTGTGTTGTCTCTCCAATCTGACATATCGCCACGTGTATTTATCCCCAGTCTCAACTTCACATGTCTTAATCCAGCGCTCCCCAACCTTTCTTTGCACCACGGACCAGTTTAATGTCAGACAATATTTTCACGGCCTTTAAGGTGTCGCGGATAAATACAACGAAATGATACGACCAAGACAAAAACTTTTGTAAATATGATCATAAACGCAAATTCACTGTGTAATTCTGTAACTTAGCAGCGTCCTCTTGAAATGTACCAACAACACTGAGAGCAACATCCTCCTCTCTGCTCCTTAATGCTCTCTGGTCGCTATGGTAACACGTAAATATTTCTTTCAAAATAAGACACACGACTACAACAAAGTGTTGCCAGGGGGGGCAGGTAGGGCATTAACAGGGAGAGG